GCGGGGTCAAGGCTACAGATGGGCCTCAATTTTCGCAAAAATGTGTGAAGTTAAATACAGTCGTTACATCAATATTTCTGATGTATGTAAATTTTATAGTAAACTAGCACTTATTGAAAAAGTCATCTTTTGTTTATGTTCTTTTTAGTAGTTTAGCAGTAAATATAAAATTTATTTACTTTTATTCGACGACTATTTAAAATTGGCATTGGCTGCATTGTCATGTCAACGTCCAGCTCTAAGATTGTGATATATACAAATGCAGTGTCATATCCTAGTCTCATAATTTGATATACCTACATAATTCACAGAATCCCAATATGTAGATACCAGTGTTAACTTCAAATGTTGTTAATCACGCTATATACAATACCAATCAATGACATTTATGTCGCAGGTTGAAGAAAGCAGTAATTCCCGTCTGTTGTTTTGGACAATGGTGGCAACTGCCTTAGATCGCTAAATTAAATGATTATGCAATCACCAAAGCAAAGTTTATAATATTTGATTAAACTAAAGGCGCATAATAAGATTTTCATAACGTTAGGTAAAGCACCATAGCAATCTTATTTATTATCAATTTATAGTTCTCTTTGTAGGTAGTTTTCTTTTAAAGCGTTCACATTATACTTAACAGGTCTGACTTTGTGATCAACCCTTTTTTATTGGTGGTGTAAAACTCGAATGAAGAGTACTTCCACCTATCAAGCGTGCTGCTACCATCCTAATAGGTATTGCAAATAGTGCAATCATGGCCATTATTTTACAAATATTTTTTTTGTATAAAAAAAATACCGAATAACGTATTCCTGTTAAGAACATTTGTGACTTATGTGACACTTATTGTTATATTTTGGCCAATTCACTCAATAACTACATAAATTATTATGTACAGGGTTACAGGGAAAGTCGTACCGAATATTGAAGGACGTTATTATTCAGGTCATTTCTGATGGATTTGGTCCTATAATATGGTGTCCAAAACTTAACCGTTATGGAGATATTGGATAATAAAGATTTTTTTAAAAATTCCTATATTTTTTGGGTTACTGTCGATTTTTTTGAAATTAGAGCTCCATGGGTCCGACTTTTTAATGAATCTAGTTAGAAGACATGTCAAGCAATAAATATAATGAATAAAAACTGAACTTACTTCTAACGGCTTAAAAAAACTGCTCGACAACGGTTATAACTAAAGAATTTTCACCAAGTGTTGTTAACTTTGAAGCGCTTTCCTAAAAAAAACATGTATGGAACTTATTCTGCAAATAATTTTAAAAACTTCTACGTCTCTTTAGCTATTCAAAAAGGTATAACACTTGCTATTAAATTGGCAAAACATTGACCAAATAACAGTTATGGTAGCAGAGGGTACATTTTTTTTCGTTGAACTTAAGCAACTTTCGCAGTGGTCGGTCATTGGATGGGTGACCAAAAATTACTATCTCGAGCTCCTCCGTGCTTCGGAAGGCACGTTAAGCTGTTGGTCCCGGCCGCATCTGCAGTCGTTAGCACCCATCAAACAGCACTGGGCCCGCGTGGTGGGTCATGGCCCAATCTCCCTATTCCATCAATAGGGAAGGCCTGTGCCTCAGCAGTGGGGACATTAATAGGCTGGTGATGATGATGATGATGCTTTTCTGGTTTTATTTACGTATTTTTGCTATTTTTACCTCAAACTAAAAATGTACCCTCTGCTACCATAACTGTTATTTGGTCAATGTTTTGCCAATATAATAGCAAGTGTTATACCTTTTTGAATAGCTAAAGAGACGTAGAAGTTTTTAAAATTATTTGCAGAATAAGTTCCATACATTTTTTTTAGAAAAGTGCTTCAAAGTTAAGAACACTTGGTGAAAATTCTTTAGTTATAAACGTTGTCGAGCAGTTTTTTTAAGCCGTTAGACGTAAGTTCAGTTTTTATTCATTATATTTATTGCTTGACATGTCTTCTAACTAGATTCATTAAAAAATCGGACCCATGGAGCTCTAATTTCAAAAAAATCGACAAAAACCCAAAAAATATAGGATTTTTAAAAAAATCTTTAATATCCAATATCTCCATAACGGTTAAGTTTCGGACACCATATTATAGGACCAAATCCATCAGAAATGACCTGAATAATAACGTTCTTTAATATTCAGTACGACTTTCCCTGTAACCCTGTATATGTTATTATCATATATGAGCTATATTACTATAAAGTTTCATTAAAATCCATTCAGTATTTTTTAGGTGAAAGAGTAACAAAGATCCATACAAACGTAAGATTGAAATTCAAAGCGCAAGTGGTTAATATACAACTTTAAAGCGTTGTAGATCCTAAACAATCATGTAAAATGAAAAATGGTGTTAGGAACCTAAACATGATTTTTGATTATCTAGACAGTGACCCCACTCGACACATTTTTTCAACTTATTTTTTTTACTTCGTCAAATTAAGGCGCCTAATTTTACCCATATTGAATTTTGGTTACTCCCATGATTGAGACAAATCGATTGATGTATGAATCATCAAAATCGGTCCAGGCGTTTGGTCTCTAGTGTGCCACAAAGGAACAAACGTACATATATAGACTGTAAAAGCGCGTCGCGCTTCGCGCTCTTGCATTGCGCAGTCGGGTAAAAATTGATAAACCCCGCGCGCGGGCGGCTTGCGAGCTGGACACCGCGGTGCGGCGCGGCGACCACCTGCTGCTCGCACGCGAGAAACGTCGTTTTCGCTCTATGTTTCGCTTGCTCTTGTGGCGGGCGCGCGGCGGGCCTCACGGGCATTCATCCGTAGTGGCCCAACGTAAGCTGGTTGATGTCTCTCAGGGATATAATTTTTATCTGGGATAAAAAGTAGGTATACTATAACTCAATCCAGGTAGGTAATCTATAATATTATAATAAATGCGAAAGTGCGTCTGTAAGATCGTCTATTATTACCTCTTCACGCTTAAACCGCTGAACCTGGTGTCCACGCAGACGCAGTCACGTGCACCCACTAGTAATCAATATTTGTGTTAAATTTCATCCAAATCGGTTCAGTGTGATATAGTAACAAACAAACAAATTTTATAAACTGTCACATTTTTATTATTAGTATAGGATTACTAGGTACCACGTTTGTGCATCTACCAAATTTATAAACACTCATAATATTGTTCATACTCTATAACGATAATTTTCCCATTTCTGCTCGGTCAGTATACTGTGTAATGTGAACAATTTTTTACGGTCATAACGTTTCCAATTTTAATGTCGTGGTTCTTAAAATAATATTTTAACTCGATATACTTATTCGCTTATAGTTACTAAAGTTCGTTGTTTCGCCATGTTAGTTATAGAGTTATTTTTCTATAGCGTACTACTAGTTATTGAGTAGGTATCTAATTCATAAAAATAAACAATGCGTTTCAGTATAAATAGGTGTTGGCCACCATAAAATTCATCTCTATAATTGGCATAAACGTATTTTCAGTTACCAGAATGTTTTTGGGGAGGAAGAAGAAGAAGAATTAAAAAGGTTTATAATTGAAGAAGATTACAAGCCGTAAGTTCTTCAAACACTTACCTCCTTCTTCTGTTTACATAGCTACAAAAACAATATACTTAATCAATTTTCCCTACCTAACATAACGCTCAATTTTTTAACCAATGATTTTGCATACGTATATAGTAATACGTAGGTGAACTATTTTATGCACCTCGATAAGTTTAAATTCTTTTATATTTGCGGTAGTAGATAAGTACTTACCTAAGTAAAGTATTGAAAACACTTAAATCAAATTATTTACAAATATCACCATGTATCTCTATACATCTGTACTTATGCAATGCTTCCTCATTCTTTTGAAATAAATAATAAAATAAAATTAATATTTCCAACACTCACACCAATTAGCCTAGCCCCAAAGTAAGCACTGTAAGGCTCGTGTTATAGGGATACTAGGGTAACGGATAGAATACGTATACTAATATAGATATTATCTTTATATATATAATTCTTCTGTGAATTCTGTGAAGTGTGTATGTCACTGAACTTCTCTTAAACGACTGGACCGATTTTGATGAAATTTTTTGTGTGTGTTCAAGGGGATCTGAGAATGGTTTAGATTCACAATTTTGTCCGCTGGACAACCCCAATTTTTTTAGGGCGGTACGAAGTTCGCTGGGTCAGCTAGTATTTATATAGAAATTTAAATTAAACATCCGTGACTGGAGTACAAATGCTTGTATTCATTACACAAACAATTGCCCCCACCGGGACTCGAACCCTCCTCTCGGACCTCTCGAGTCGGCGACACCAATAAACCTGGCGTACAAACCACTCGGCCACGGAGGTCGTCACGATCACGACCTACCTTGTGGACACAAGGGTACATATAGCGACTTTATAGCTCGCCCTATATAATATCAATGATATATTTTGCGAATGTTGCATGGGTTCTCTGTTGTCTGTTGTGTACATTATTTGGAAATGTTTTCAGGCCCATATTCGGTTCGTACAGATTTGATCCAATTTGCGGCACATTCGATATAAAGGTACACCACAACGACTCAGAACAGATAGTGAACAGTTCATATGTATTGTCGACGGCTGTAGGAGTTCCAGAGACCACTACAGCAAGGCTCATAAGGAGTAACAATAATATAATCGACCCGGCCAAACCAATAACCGCATGGTGGGCGCGAAAGAAAACTGTGACGAAATCAACTTAAATTCTACAAGACCTTCTTTTATCACATTTATTTTGATAAACGCTGATGTACCCAGTTATGTCATTTTTCAGTAATTATAGGAAGAAACCGAAATCATATAAAGGGACGAAAATGTGCTTTAATGATTTAAAATTAATTCCCAAAAACTTTTAGATCTTTTATTTCATAAAATGAAGAGACAAAATGCTACAAGTTAAAGTACTATAAGGTATCATATTGGAGTAAAAAAAGACATAATACTTTTAAATTTTATTTGTATTTATAAAAAGTAACTTACATGGTGTATAAAAATGTAGAATATTATAACATTTCAGTCACAGAAACGGTTTAATAGAGCAAAAAACCTTTTAGAAAGCCCTTACACTAGAGTCTTTAGCAGTCTTTTGGGCGTCCTCGTCGTGACAGCGATCGAGCAACGTCGACACGAAGAGGTGTTGCCGAAACCCGGGCTTCCGCAGCGCTGGCGTAGCATCGTCAGCTTAAGTTTTTCTTGCGATCAAGTTTTATAATGGAAGCCGACCAACGCTGGCGTCGGTCGCGTCGATGTTGCGCGGACGCTTGCACGACGAATACGCTCGAAAGACGCTAGTGTGCGGGATATCCTAGCAATTTCGTGTAGACTTTACTGTCGGTAAGCCCTCCATCAAAGCGGTAAATGCAATATGTAGTCACACCATACTTATTACACACAATCAAGCAAGATCCTATTGAAGACTATGCACGAGAATATTTTTTCAAATGCTCAGTCTCTCCCTTTATACAGAATTATGTAGACTTTTGGCGCAGCGGCCGAAATTGTTCATCAGACTTAAATAGAAATGTCGCCTCTTAGCCATACCTTTAAATTACCTACCTATAAGGTAACTCGAACCGATATATTTCATATTATGCAAGGGTAACCATAATTTTAGAAAAGGTTTAATAGTATTCATAGTTAACCATGTAACCAATCGAGTCGAGAGCGTTTGACCTTGTTAAGCGATTTCAATGCCACGTGACCTTGTGCATGTGATAAAATTTTGGTACTTGAACCAGGTCAACGTAGTTCGGTGGTCGGGGGAGTACTCAGAGCCGTACAGATTGGAGTGTGGAGTGAGGCAGGGGGGGCTGACCCAAACTTTTCAATCTGTATGTGGATGCATTGATAGGGGAGCTCAGCGGTACTCATGTGGGCTGCCACATAGACGGTGTCTGTTTAAATAATATAAGTTATGCGGATGACATGGTCCTGTTGAGCGCTTCTGTCTGCGGGTTGTCACAGCTCATAGCTATATGTGAACGGTATGCCCTTAGCCATGGACTGATATACAACGTGAAGAAAAGTGAAAGTATGGTCTTTCGGGTTAGAGGGAAGTCTCTTGATAACATTCCTTCAATAAAACTCAATGGTACGCCTTTGAAGAGAGTAGACCAATTTAAATATCTTGGACACTTAGTGACGTCTGACCTGAGGGACGATGCTGATATTGAGAGGGAGCGTAGGGCGCTGTCGATAAGAGCTAACATGATTGCCCGTAGGTTTGCTCGCTGTTCGAGGGATGTCAAAATCACTCTGTTCAGAGCGTTTCGTACGTCCTTCTACACGAGCAGCTTATGGATCAACTACACCAAAAAGCAGTACAGTGCCTTGCGTGTCCAGTTCAATAATGCTTTCAGGATGCTGCTGGGGCTGCCTCCATACTGCAGTGCTTCGGGTATGTTTGCCGAATACCGAGTGGACTGTTTTTATACAGCCATGCGCAAGCGGTGTGCATCCCTGGTGCGCAGGGTGCGGGCGAGCCCGAACACCATCCTGAAATTATTTTCGGAACGTTTTGACTGTCAGTACATGAACCATTGTTATATGATACATGTACTGAGTAACAAAGTTTAGTCATGACTGTAGTTTTTTATATTTAATTGTTTGATTATTATTGTATTATAATTTAATTTAATTTATTAGTGTCCATTCAGATTATTTTGATTATTTTTTATATTATGTTATTATTATGATTAGTGTAATATTTATGTGATTGGATATTTAATGTAATGATTATGATAAAAAAAAAAAAAAAAACATCCCCTAGGTCCTACGGCTTTAGCAAATCCGTATTCGCCCTTCATTTCAGAAAAATCCCAAACCGCCTACTTTTCACTTCAAAAAAGAAAATCAGAAAAAATCTTAGTTAACTGTAAACATAAAAAAACCCATAAGTTTAAATGTTCGAAATGTATTTATTTACTTTATTCGTCGTGTTTGGTTCACAGACATACATGTGTGTATGTACCTAATTTTAACTTGATCGGTCTAACAGATTCCGAACAAATCGACTGTGACAGACACACAACTCCGTTTGACAGTGATCCTATACGGGTTTGATTCCCGCGGAACCCTAATAAAAAAAAATATGCATGTTGGTTTGAACTCAATACCTCTTGCATTCTTAGAGCACATACCAATGGTATATGTTCTAAGCTTGCACTTGAAGGAGCGTTTATTGCATTAGTTAGACCAAGCCCCTACTAATAAGCATTATTAGCAGCAAATAGGGAAGATGCAAATATAATATTTATAAAAATGTTATGATTAAAATGTTAAAAAAATATAAAAGAAAGGCCACTGCAACGTTTTTATTTTACATAATGTTGTTGTTTTATGTTTTTTAACAATAATTACGATTTAAAAAGGACTTGAAAAAGACGTATTTTAAAACACCAATCAGCGTTTAGTGACATCACTCCTGTTATGACAACTTATTTGAGATTATGGCTGTAAAAGTGAATATTATTTTATGGGAATATTAATTGCGTTTTTTAATAAAAATGGAAGTTAGGCTTATCAAAGCAGACTCCAGGAATTTACCAAGAGTTAGTATTGACATGGTTATAACTTTTTTGTCCAAAGTGCAGTTTTCAAGTGTAGAAATGAAAGGGACTAAATTACTACGGTATGTATAAATGATAGTTGTTAAACTTTGTATTTTATTCAGCGGCTTCTAAACATAGCAGTTATTTCAGCTCAACAAGAGAATCTTACGGCGATAACGCAATCGGCTATGGCCAAATTGAAAGAGATGAAGAATATGTACAGTAAATAGTAGAGTTACTCCGGAGCATAAAGTACGTAAAGAAGGTTATCGTGTTACAGTTATTTTAAATGAAATGCAAAGCTTGGTTCAGTCCTGCCAATGTGAAGATTGTGCCACACTTTAAACTTAATCCAATTTTCGACGTCATTCTCCAACTGTAAAATTAAGAATATATTTATGACAGGTTTTGTATTTGGTAGGTTACTAACGCGTTTTTACGTACAAGCAGATTTATTAAGCATATAACAAGTATATTCGCCGACTTACGTCAGTGATCTTCACAGCATCGAATAATGGTCTTTGGAGAATAATTGTCATTTTTCTTCGCAGCTTAAATCCACTTTTTTCTCAGTTGTGGGTTAATTAAATTAATTCAATCAAAAGTCTAAAACAATTTATTGGGAAACTTTGTTGAAGGAGATGGACACATTGGCACAAAACATGAGTCAACACGGCTTTTTTTCGGAATATTAGTGGTATTGTTATGATCACGTGAAGTTAATGGATATTCCATTTTAAATTTTTACAAAATAATATCTCGAAAGTCGAAAAAATATGCAAAAGTATGAAAGCCAGCGACGAACAAGTACGATGACGGACAGGAGCGACGTCATCGGAACCATAGGTCCGTTTTCGCGCGAGAATTTAAACTGTCAATTTTAAACCGCATTTATTCCGATAAATTACAATGTTTTAATTTTTAATATATCGGTGGTTTATTTTAGATGGAATTCTTTAAAATGAAAACAAAAATAAAAATATTGCATCTTCCCTAAAGGTGAAAATCTAATTGATCTTCCAGTATCAATCACGGTGGAGCGAGTTGGTTGATATTTTCCCATCTCGGAATATTTATATATACTGCGCCTTAGGAAGTTTTCACTATAATAAAAATATTGCATCAAACCGATAGGAACTTAATGATTATTATGAATTGCCATATAGTGATCTCTTGTCTTATTTGTATTTGAATAATTTACATTAAATTAAAGACAACTGGCAAAGTGTTGGTAAATAAAGCTCTGTTATCTAAAATAGCGAAATTACATGTTTCATACTTAGATTAAAACAAAAAGGGTAGATACGGCACTAGCCTCACAAAAGTGATCCGCATAAATTGTGGTCCACGACCCTAATCACTTTAGTCACTACTTGACATGCAAACAACGTACATGTGAACGCCAAAAAGAAATATTGCTAATATTTTGTGTTTATATGATAAAACAATGCCTAAGTGTGTTTTTAAATAGTACTCAAATTGCTCAAGAACTAAAAATAAAACGCACGGCATCACTTTTCATTCGTAAGTAATATAAAATATTTTTTTCATAAAAATTGTTGTTTGTTTTGAATCATATTCGGTAGTAACGCCGAGTACTGATCGCGTGATTGGTCGGTAGTGCAGTGACGCGTATCTCGCCGTCTAATTCGCGCTGCCGTTGAAACTTAATGTGCTGTTTCGTTCGGGTCGGTAATGCAGTGACGCCGATCTCGCCGTCCCGTTCGCGCTACCGTGGGATCAGTTTTTGTTTGATGCAAGTATGAGCGTACCGTATCTACCCTTTTTGTTTTAATCTAAGGTTTCATATAATATTGTGATTCAACATTTCCATTTTTTTCTTAAATTAACAAGAAATTTTATGAAACTATATATATATATATGTTTCACGAAATTTAAAATGATGAACAAATATGGAATTTGATTCATCAGTCTGAAAAGTATGGAATGTGTGCGTTCCAGACAATGTGTTTTGAAAGGTTCATACATATCACTATTTTAAAACACTAGTTCGCCAGATTGTTAAAAAAAATATTCTATGCTTATTATCTAATGAACTATATATGTGTAGTGTGTAGGTACAAAATAATACAATATATTTAATTTTATACAAATTACATTAAAAACCTTATTAGGTAGTCGTTTCCACCAATGAAATAACTAAATAATTGAGCAAAACATCATCATTTTAATATAATAATAAATAATCAACATAATTATTATCAATGTTAAACTTACAAACATAGAAGTATTTATACAAACAACAAGTATTTAATTTCAAAGTATCACTATTTGAAGCTGTATGAGAAACCAGACCAGCTATGTGGCTCATTCTGTTGACAATTACAAAATACCCATACTATATCGATGGGTCCTATGCACGGGCGTAGCCAGGTTGAGTATCGGGGGGGGGGGGGGGGGGGGGGGGGGGTTCAAGAAATTAAAATTACTGAAAGTGCATGCAATAACCTTTATATTATGTAAATGAAAAATATGAAATATGTAAAAAAAAACCGGCCAAGTGCGAGTCGGACTCGCGCACCGAGGGTTCCATACAAACTCAATTTAATACCTCTACGCGCGTTCATGAGAAAAGAGGTAGTAACTTTAAAATTTTCAAAAATATTTTTATTATATGATGTAACTAAAAATTTAAGGTTTTCGCAATTTTTCCTTTATCTGTACTATAAGACGTTATTTCGTACCAAATTTCAAGATTCTAAGTTCACGGGAAGTACTCTGTAGGTTTTGATTCCCGTGCGAGATTCGAAAATTTGCAGAAATTTGCGGCATAAACGGCTGTATCTTTTGATTGCTTTGGCTCAGAAGTTTGAATTTTTCACAGCTCCAAGGGACAGTATGAATTTCAGTTTGGTATCTCCACGCGTTCCTGAGAAAAATGGTCTTGACCGACGGACGGTCGGGCGGACGGACAACAAAGTGATCCTATAAGGGTTCCCTAAAAAGAAACAGAAGGTTTATTTGATTACAGCAGAATTAATCTTCTGTTTTTCTTTTTAAATATATCCACTTCTTCATTCACATCAATTTCTATCCCATACTAAATATTCATTCATCGAGAGCCAAGCAGTTCAGTCTGTTTTTACTGGTTGTGTTCCGCAAGTAGTTTTCAAGTGTCCTTAGGCTTGAAAACGTCCTTTCTGGTGTAGCAGTGGAAACAGGTATGGTAGGCAATATTTGTACAACGTGTAAATATTTTTATATAATTTTTGATCGCACTTATATAAGCATTCCAAAGCAGATTATGGAGTAGGGGAGGTGATAGTCACAACTGCTTTCCACACTTCAAGTTCTGATTTGAAAACAGACGTACATCTTTCGGGTAACACTGCCGAAAGTGGGAGCCACTCGCGCTCCATAGTGTGGATGGGGATACATAACAATATCATGCCGATACGAAACGAAAATATACGAAGGTTACCGAATGCGATAGGATAAATGACGACGGGCAGCGGCGGGTGGTAGAGGGCGAATCCAAAATACATTATTAGTGTAATAATTAGTAATTAAATAAATTATGCCGCTCGCCTCTCCTTATTTTGATATTAATGATGTTGATATCTTAACTTTTCGGGGGGGTTTGAACCCCCAAAACCCTCCCCCTGGCTACGCCCATGGTCCTATGTATAAGGGCTAAAGTGCAAAATCATGACTTTTCAGGAGAGGCTGTTGAAGTTTCAAAATTATATATCTTTTTAACTACTTATCTGTAGTTTATGAAACTTTGCATGTTTGTTATAATAACTATACTCTTCGTGAATGTTTCAGTGCATATTCTAAATATATTTTTATTTTGCTTTTATTGCTCATTCGCCGTTATTCGTTATTTTTTTATATTTTTAGTTATCCAAAAAAACTAGTAAAAAGGCCAAAGTATTACGTTGGTCGATTTACGTAGTGCATACTTACAATAAAAATTAGTGCTTAAATTTTTATTTTTACTATTAGAATATAACATCACCCAAGTAACATTAATAAATAACCCAAAATAACATTAAACATGTAAGTACTTTAAGCAATAAGTCATATTGGACCCTTGTACGTTTACTTTCATGCTTTTTATTTATTCGATAGGAATAAGAACTCGCAGTTAGGTTTAAAAAAATATCAAACAAATCACAAATTAAAGCACTAAATTAAATTTCTTCAAAAGTAAATAAATGCTAACATTGCTGCTAGCCAAAAGTGAACAAAAATTAATGATAATTTTAGATAATTTTTAAGAACAATTGCTCAAATCACAGACTTTTATTTGTACCTACTTTATTATAACTATAATCAAAATATAATATTATATTTATGTACTTTAAAAGTTGCGTCATTTAATATTTTATTAAAAAATAAAATATTCAATATTATCACTAATGGTCATCATCATCACTCGCATACATTGAAATGTTATTATTAAATGTGGCTAAATTTTCATGATAATCATGATGATCATCCACCAGTGTGGTGGAATAATATTCTTACGGCTTATGTCAATGAAGTGTTTCTTTTTGGATGGATGTAATGATATTGGCTGGTTGTAACTTAAAATATGTAAAGATTGCTTTCAATGGAATTTTCAGACAGGTCCAGTTTATAAAATAAAATTTTCATCTTTACAAAGACATTTCTCTCCTATTGAGTTTTTAGTCCCATTGTAAGAAGCATGCAAACCTGGGATGTTTGAAGTTATAAATAATTTTAAATCATTGTATTAATAAGCTCCATTCAGATGGTGTGAAGATATTATTACATTTTGATGCACATTCAAATGTAGCGTGATTTTGGATGTGTCCTTTCTCAATAAAATGTAACTAATATAAAGCTGTTTAAAACAACACAAAAAGCATTATTCTGATTCTATTTTGGCCAGCAAATTGTCTGACCACAATAAAAACTAAAGTCATCATAACCTCCTTTAATTTTCTGTGTTATTTTAAGTATCATAAACAGCTATCAATTTCGTAAGATCCTTTCAAAGCTATTTGTTGGTTCCAAAGTCAGCGAAAGCCAACCAAGTTTCTATCATCAAAGACTGACATATTATTCACTGTTTCTTAGGTTTTCACGCACATCACTCATAAATAAAACTAGTTTTTCACGGGTTAATGCACGACACTTTATTTATTATTGACATTTCGCAGCCTTTACAGCCAAATAAAAATTTATTCCGACGACGCAGCCTGTAAAGGCTGCGAAACGTCAATAAATAAATAACGTTTCGTGCATTAACCCGTGAAAAACTAGTTTTATATTATTCACTTCTAATCGCTTACACTAATGTCACTACCAGGTTCACACGAAGCGATTTAAATTGATTATTTTTATTGTTAAATTTATTTTTCTTCAATTAATTTGCTTCAATTTGATTGAAAGTTTGTTCAATAGTTCAGACAGTTCAAATCGCATGCGATGTAACAGTTGATCAACAAAAATCGTGTCGTGTGAACCCGGTATTACTGACAGATTGGCCGATAATTCAAATAAAATTTCGGTAACTCCCCGCGTATAAGTCTCGGACTACCGTTTAGGCCCTAATACGTTTAAAAGTGTGACACATTAGCCCTTTTACTGCATCAAAAAAACGTGTTTGTAGCAATAAATTTGGAGTTTTTTTCAATGAATATCATTTATTACATTAAAAGAGAGCATTTACCACCAAAAAGCCAAAATGAACAAAATGCTACTTTGGCCCTTATACATAGGACCCATCGATATCATCAGTATCAATATCAACAACTCATTGTCAGCACTGAGCATTGAAGCGGTAACAACTTAGATTAAAACAAAAAGGGCAGATACGGTACGCTCGTACTAACATCAAATAAAATATGATCCGACTCAACTACATAAGCAACTCACACACACGCACACGTCTGTATATTAATATTCAATCGAGCGAGCGAGACAGAACTGTACGTTTCAAGGCAGCGCGGAAACGGCGAGTACGCTTCGCGTCCTTTTCTTAAATAACAAAATGGCGATTACGTAACTAACATTCACGACAAATCGTGCTTTTTGAGAACAAAATGTTTTACAGTTTTACGAATGAAAAAAAAAAAGTTGCCAAGGCATTTGTTATTTGATTTTGAACTATTTGTGTTTTTTAAAAAAGCATCGAAGGCATTCTTTTATATTGCATGAGTGCATGGAGCGTGTTTGAATATCCAAATGTGACTAAAGCGAATTGTGGTCATGCACCATAATTTAAGCGGATCACTTTTGAGCCGCGAGTGCTGTATCATTCCTTTTTGTTTTAATCTAGGGCGGCAGCTAGACGTTTAGTTTGTAATAGTTCTTCAGTATGATAAATACTGATGATCCACATTCCGTCGACGAAATTTTTTGGCAATTCTAGACGGTCAGTATTTATCAGGTCAGTAACGTGTTTCGAAGCAGTTCAGACGTGAAATGGATACAAATAAAGCTTTTGTGGCTATTATCTTAGCCATTGATTAAAAAAATCAATAAAAAGAAAACGATGGACAAAACATTGACTACAACAGAGATAAAAATATACTCATTTAAATTTATTGGCTAAAATTAAAGAGCATGATTAAGGATAATTTGATCATTTGTAATGGGCCGGGACGAGCTCGTGCGCCAGATCCGCCGGTGGCGGCGTGCCCTCAGGAATCTCAGCAAACATATCCTCCTCCATTGCTGTCGCGGTGGGTACTCATACACCGTGATATTTAATGATCGTCTATCGTCTAGTGTAGTGTACTGACAAATGTCAATATTTAACACAGTGTCATTCCGGAATTCAAAAAGTTCGAAATTCGTGATAAATACTGACATTTATCAATCCAATACAATATTCGGTAAATGCTGATGAACCACATTATACACTGAACGTTTAGCTGCCGCCTAAGGGTAAAAAGAGATATATTCGGCAGTATATACTATTCGTTGCAAGTCTACTTACTACTACTGTCGAATACCGAATATTCGGCGAGGCCCCTGACCGAATAGCCGAATATTAGGCAAAAGTCATGGACGTATAAAAAAAGGCGGACAGAATTTCGGCTAAGACAATACTGAGGCACCGTAATGGCGGCGGCTATTGATGAGTGAGTGAATTGTAGGGTTGCTAGGTTAGCCAATTTTTTACCAATAAAACATAGTAAAAAGATGAAAATATTTGAATTGTACAAAATTTTACTTTTTGCCCGACTGCGGAGGAAAAAAAAGTATAAGTATTTTTATAACCCGTCAAACGAGGTATCAAAGTGAAGGGTTTTAAAAGAATATTAAGAAAACATACAACTCGTGTAATTAAAATAAAAATGAAATTAAAATGTAGAAAATATAAAAAAATACTAAAAAGAAAAATACAAGTCCAGTTGTCTATAATTCTGTTTAATAACGAACCAAGTTACTTTAACAGTCGGGACTCATTAGAAATTCTAGAATGTATCGAATTTTCTCAATATTGGGTAAATCAACTAAATATATCTATATTATATCGAGAATGCAGGCCAGGACATCTGGCCTGGCCTGCATTCTCTTTCATATTTCTTAAAATAAACTAACACCCATTGAGTACTGTTTGTAATTGAGGAGTTCCATTGTTTTTCTCCGAAAGTACTCATCAGATCTCCAGTAAATTAATATGCAGCCATCTCGCTAGTAAACTGATTAAAACAAAAAAAGAATCATCATAAACGGTCCACGAATCACGGAGATCTGCGCGAACAACAATAAAAAAAAACAAATATGACGCATTGCGAACCTCTTTCTTTTCGAAGTCGGTTAAAAATTTTAATCAACCTTTTGAGGTAATGCATACGTAATAACACGCCGGAGCCCTCCTTTAGTAGTATATAAGTCTTGAGCTTCAAAATGAAGACTAAAAATGACACTACTACACATTTGTTTGGAAATCATTCATTTTCCAGTCATTTCTCCATACTACATTTTCTTTAGGAAATCTGATAAAAAAGAATAATAAATAATAGATTGAAGTTAATGTCAACCCAATTTCCCATATTTTAGGTAATATGGTTATATGAACATTGGCAACACTGGACTTTAGACTAATCATTTTGTCCTTAGAATTAAAATTGATTTCGATTTCTAAAAACTAGAAAAAAGTGATTCAATTATTCATTTACCTATGAAACGTGATTCCTGGTTTTTTTTTCTTTCGGTCATTAACAGTTTTTACACCTTTTTACAAGCAAGATATCTCGTTTAGCTTATTTTATCTCCACGTAAGGTGTCGGCTGCTTTGACGTTTGCACGCGTAGTGGCTGACTATTGTGTGAATGTGTGCGTGCCGGCTTGTACGTACAGCGACCTGGAGCTCTATTTTTGAATCACTCGTCTTGCGTCGAACGCTTGATTTCTACTATATTTCATTCGACATAATTAATTCCGTATTTTTGAATCGCTCGAGTGCAACGAATGGGTGAGACCACTCGCTGCTTGGCGAATGGTGGAGGCGAATGATAGAATAATTGTCAAATTGTTTTGTGCTATTAGACGACGATAAACTATCATTGTCATGATTTATATGAAACGACAACTAGAATTTTTTGTTCGGTTTTCATTGCGGTAATTGCCGGTTTTTATTTTTTCTGTGTGAACTGAGTAAAATTTTATATTTCGTATTAAACCGGTAACACCGGTGACGAATGATTCAAAAATAAGAAAAATCAGTATTATGCGACTTGAAAGTCGAAGGTGACTTATGTCGCATTCGACGATACTATGTCAGACGAGTGATTCAAAAATAGAGCTCCTGGCCGACTCTGAGCGACACAGTTTATTGTTTACCGGGACTCTGTCCGCCTTTTTTTATAAGTCCATGGCAAAAGTATTCGGCTGGATTTTAGCGCCAAAAACTTGTACAGACGTGATTGTATCGCGCTCCTTTGTTTTGTTCTAATCTACCGTCCTCCAATGATGACAAAACCAACTTTTAAGATATGGCAAAAACGGCGCGTAAACTTTAAATTATTGCTATTATGTAACCCATAGATAAATGATTGGTCTCGCTTCACTCGACTAGATACCGCCGGCGTACTTGTTTAATGCGGCAACAAATACTATGCCGAAATCGGCAGACCCGAGCCTTCGCCGTGTCAGTCACATTGACAGCTGCGCTTTAGGTGTTAGTCCCGAATATTTTAAACAATTGAGAGCACAATCCGCAGCAAAATGCCAGTTTGTGTTGTGAAACATTGTAAAAATAATAGTTCAAAAAATAAAAAAGACACTGGGATCACATACCATCAGTAAGTATCTTATAATTTCGAAATTTCGATGTAAAATTTCATGAAAAATAAACGTCATTTAGTGTTGCCAAGTACGCAATATAAAAGTCCCTATGGTTGAGATTTTTATAATATGAATATACTGTTATATGACCCATTTCATTCGACCTCTTTATGAAATACAAACTATTCGTGTCAGTGAATTGAAAATATTTGAAAATAAATCGGGGGGTGAAGAAATAGACCAGGGTCGATAATTTTTGAGACCAAAAAAATTTTAGTCGGATGAAACCCATTGGAAAAGGTAGAGAATATAACAAAAATGAAAGGAAAAATATATTACGGGCGATCTGAGGTCGGAAAGGGGGAGAGGGTGAGTTTTTAAGGGTAAAAAACGGTTAATCTCGATTTCCGGTAAAACTGCAAGTCTTATGAAAAAAAGTCAGAGGGCAAAGTTGTAGGTAATAAAAAACTCTACAACTTTTGTATTGACACTTTTTTCACATAACCTCAAAATTTATGTGAAAATTTCGAATAACCGAGTTTTTGGTTTTTATTTTTATTTTTTGCAAAAAAAAACACTTCACGATATTAAGTGAAAACTTACCTTTGTATGTCCCAAACATACATATACTAAATTTCGTGAAAAAATAAATTTTGCTAATAATAAAAATAAAAAACCAAAAACTCGGTTATTCGAATTTTTCACATAAATTTTGAGGTTATGTGAAAAAAGTGTCAATACAAAAGTTGTAGAGTTTTTTATTACCTACAACTTTGCCCTCTAACTTTTTTTCATAAGACTTGCAGTTTTACCGGAAATCGAGATTAACCGTTTTTTACCATTAAAAACTCACCCCCTCCCCCTTTCCGACCTCAGATCGCCCGTAATATATTTTTCCTTTCATTTTTGTTATATTCTCTACCTTTTCCAATGGGTTTCATCCTACTATATTCTTTTTTCACTTTTTACCATTTTTAATATTATCGACCCTGGGGCCCAATTCTCGCGGCGTAGATATTATATCGGCTTCGAGATAATATCGAAAGTAGGGATATCTATTGAAAATATCTACTGATGGTAAAAAATGCTATTCTCGTGGATTTTCGATATTCCAATGATATTATATCTATCGTAGATATTCTTTCTCTGACGAATGCGTTCCGTTTTTCTCGATTAAGTTAACATCATAGTCTATATAAAATAATAATAAATTAGAGCAGAATTTTACAAGCAACAAAATGATATTTTATGAATTCCATTCATATTAAATATGAGTATATATTTTTTGAGTATAAGAAATCTCAACTTTACCTAAATTGTATGCGTATATAATTTCACAGTTATGTATAATGAAACGTCAATATTATTTAAGATTCTCCCTTTTCAGGGAAGGCAAAGGGAACAATGCCCATAAAGCCTAGTCTTTAGTTATATTAATCTTCTTTTTTTTACATTCGAATGTCGGTGTGACGCATTCTAATGTTTCTTGGAGTGTTTGGCACGAAATTTATGGAGTTGGCTTTTTCTCTAAGCTTCTGTGAGGTATTCAATACTACAATAAAGTTCTTGCGTCCACTTGACCGGAATAGCGAATATTTTAAAGATTTCACTAATTCTTCAGTTGCGCAGACGGTTGTAACACCAAATCACACCAATTTTATTTCACAATATCCACTATGAACGAATTTTAGAATAATTAAAATAAGATACCAACCGCACTCGCAAAAATCCCGCCAAAACTCCGTATCGTCAATAAGAAAATGGTGTTGATTGTGGCATGATTCTCTAAACCTAAACGTAAATTTGACAACAGTGTATCCTTGTCATTCTCCATACAGAATGAAAAGGAGAGACTCATGTTAAATTTAGTTCTAAGTTTAGAGAATCGTGTCAGAATCGATACCAATGTCATTCATAACTATAAAGATTTCTAACCAAATTTTTGTTTAAACGTAATTTTTTTATGAAGTCGGCGTCCCTCATTTCAAATGGACCCTCTTGCTCTCACAACGGCGGCACCTTAGCACAGCAGCAGCAATCACGTCATTTATTAAATCATTGACGAATACTTGAATCAACTCATCCATCGTTAATATAAACTGGTGTCGATTCTGGCACGATTCTCTAAATCTTAACTTAAACTTGACAACAGTGTTTCCTTGTCGTTCTCTATACAGAATGAAAAAGAGAGACTGATGTAAAATTTAGTTTTAAGTTTAGAGAATCACGCCAGAATCGACACCATTATTTACCTACTTCTTTATTTACTAATTATTTATGAAGGCAGATAACAACATCTTGAGGTAACAATAATTGGCAAAGACACACGACAACACAATAAATAATGGGTAAAAAAAATGGAAATAACAAGATTGACATGCCAAGATCCATAGATATTTATATATCGAAGGCTCTTTACCAGTCGATGTATGTCTACTGATCATCCGTAGATAAATATCTATTGCGACATGGTGAGAATAGGGCAAAAAGGTTTTCCTTCGATAAAAGCCAGATCATTCGATATATATCGAAGGTGATATAATATCTATGCCGCGAGAATTGGGCCCCTGGTCTAAAATCATCACAATTTTTGGAAAAAAAATGAAATTAATTAAATAAAATAGAGAACAGACGCTCAAGTACGAGTTTTTGACAGCTTCGTAAAGTATCGTAATGGTCAAAATTGTATGGAAAAAGCTAGTTTATACATGGTGTCAATGGCGCTGCTTAGTTTTTTTCATAGAAACTTTGACGATGCGATATGTTAGCGTTACACAGCTGTCAAAAACTCGTGCTTGGGCCTCAGGGATAGCTTATGGTGCGGGTAATAATAAAGGAAACTTAATAATTTGCTCAAGTGTGTGGCGAAGTGAATATTTGTGCGCCATACGCCGTGGAAGGGTTTTCGATTAAATAATTGGCCGAGCGTGTATTTCCGTACAACATGTAACCAAATCTTCATTATTATTTTTATCGTGTTATGTTTGCTTGGTACAGATTTCCTGTTGATCCTGTTATTCGTGACCGTTGGACTGCTATAGTACGAGTCAGCCGGGAAGAAAGTTGGTGGAAACCAGGAAAAAGCAGTGTTATATGTTCGATTCATTTTAATGCCAGTGACTTCTACTTGACAAAAGGTGGTTTGAAAAGATTACATAAGGGAGCTGTACCACAGAACGCATTGGTTTTATCGTCAATACTACCGGACAACATTTCTAACAACATTGTGGTAACTGCAGAACCAAGCACATCAACTCCAGTGGTCAATTCTAACAGCATTGTGGTAACTGCAAAACCAAGCACATCGGCTTCAGCTGACGAAATAAAATTTTTAACTAGTGGTAATGAAAGTCCACCACTAGATGACTTTCCCGACATAGAATATATTTTTGATTCACCAAGAAAGACAAAGCTTAAAAAAGAGCTTCATAAGAAAAATATTTTACAGTTAAAACATGGGAGGATAATAAAAACCTTGCGTGAAAAGACTCGTCGATTAAAACAATCCAATTCTAACTTAAAAAATATTATTAAATCTTTAAAAAAAGAACGTTTCATTGATCACGATTTATATAACATACTTAGTAAACATGTTGTCGCCGCAGATTTATTCAATAATATATATAAGAAGCATAAAAACCAAAGAAAAACCTTGCCGAAATATACTAATGAACTTAAGAAATTCTGTCTAACTTTAAACTTTTATTCTCCGTCTGCATATAATTACGTGAGGAGTAAATTTAGCACATGTTTGCCACATTGCAAAACATTAGGCAAATGGTATCGCAACATGGATGGTGGTCCAGGTTTTACCGAAGAAGCGTTTAAGTTATTAAAAGTAAAAGCTGATAAAGGCAATATTATTTGCGCGCTGATAGCAGATGAAATGGCTATCCGCCAACAAAGTACGTGGCTCCGCAATCAAACTCACGGTTATGTTGATATGGGTACTGGTGTAAACGACACATCTATATTAGCATCAGAGGCATATGTGTTTTTATTGGTGTGCTTAACTGAGCACTGGAAACTGCCTGTAGGGTACTTTTTAGTTCATGGCTTAACAGGATCCCAAAAAGCGAACCTTATAACACTATGCCTAACTAAATGCCATGAAGTGGGTGTACGTGTCGTATCAATTACGTTTGATGGACATGCTTCGAATATCTCGGCGATGGAAATATTGGGTTGTCGAATAAAGGATCCCAAAAATTTGAAGACTACTTTCAATCATCCTTCTTCAAGTGAAGATGTTGCTGTTTTTCTTGATCCTGTTCATATGTGTAAATTAATCAGAAATAATTTCGAAAGTAAAAAGGCTTTTCTAGATGACGAAGAAAATGAAATTTATTGGAATTTTCTAGAAAAACTAAATAATTTGCAAAATAAAGAAGGCCTCCATTTAGCTAATAAAATAACGAAACGTCATTTAGAATTTCGCAATAATATAATGAAGGTAAAGTTTGCTTCCCAATTATTAAGCAGAAGCGTTGCAATCGCCCTGAAATTTTGTAGAGAAGATTTATATTTACCGGAATTCAAAAATAGTGAAGCAACCGAGAAGTTCATTTTATTGTGGAATAATTTATTTGATATATTTAACACCAGAGATTTGAACCAACATGGATTTAGTCATCCCATATATAATGGAAACAAAGAAGATATTCTTAATTATTTAGAATATGCGAAACAATACATAATAAGCTTAAATTTAAAATCGGCCAGAAAACGTTCTTTTAAGGAACACAACCAACAAAAGAAAATCGTAATCAAAAGTTTTAAGCCTGTTTTAAATACTCAGGCAAATACTGGATTTTTAGGAATGTTAGTATGTATCGAAAGTCTCAAACACATAACTAATCTCTTAGATGAAGGTTTGTTAAAATTCATTTCCACCTACAAGTTGACTCAGGATCACATTGAACTATTATTTGGTGCGATCAGAATGCACGGCGGGTTCAATGATAATCCGAATACTTTACAATAAAACTACCATGTGGGAACGTTTCGAAGAAGAAGATTCAGTATTGTTGGATGCACTAGAAAAAGTTACGGATGATTTTGACGAGATCACAGAATTCTTGGATGTGCCATACATGTCGAATTTTAAAAACCACGTTGTTGGATACGTAGCCGGTTTTGTTGTCAAGTTCTTAACAAAAAAATTGAAATGCTGGCATTGTATTGATAATTTAACTGCTAAAAATCATTGTTGGTTTCATAAATTTGTAATGTTAAAAGATAGAGGTGGATTATCATATGCCTCTGAAGATGTATTTTTAATATGCTTGGTTTCAGAATCTATAATACAAAATATAGATAAAGTGTCGCACATAAAATCAAATTTAATATATAAAAAAATTGTAATTGATGTCATGAAAAAATTTCATCGGGACGGGTTCTAAAAGATATTTTGATTTCGACTCAAGTCATGTTAATGGTGCCATTCATCAGATTAATTTAATTCGACTAGTAGTGGAGAAGTTTATACAAATACGACTCCATTACATTTCGAAGAAAGAAAATTTGGAAAAGTCTGGGAATTTTAAAAGGCAAATTTATCGTAAACTTGTTCAAGTTAGTGGCATGTAATTTTTATTTTTTGATAATAAACTTTATTCTTTAGGTAACCTGCTTATTTTAATAGTTTTAACTATATATATATTGTTATTATAGTTTTATTTCAATTTCTAGTGTCTGCATGGTTAATAATAATTATAAATTTACTCAACACTGGTGTCGATTCTGACATGATTCTCTAAACTTAAAACTTAATTTAAAATCAGTCTCTCCTTTTCATTCTGTATAGAGAATGACAAGGATACACTGATGTCATCAAGTTAAGGTTTAGAGAATCAAGCCAGAATCGACACCAGTGATTTTAAAGAGTTATAAAAATAATGGGGTCGATTCTGGCGTGATTCTCTAAACTTAAAACCAAATTTAACATCAGTCTCTCCTTTTCATTCTGTATAGAGAATGACAAGGATGCACTGTTGTCAAATTTAAGTTTAGCTGTAAAGAATCATGCCAGAATCGATATCACTAAATGTATAATAAATATTTATATATATCGAAAGTCTCACATCTATTAGCCCAGCTCCCGGGACCTATGACCTATGAAGGCCGACACCATCAAAACTGGCGTACATACCACTCAGACTACGGCGGCACATAAAAGAATTTGTAACCAAACTATTGACAAGTGGGATAAAAATAAAGAAACTAACTATGCAAGCGTGATAAAATTATAGGATTCGCGCCTCCGTGCATCACGTATATTTGCAAAAAAAATAAAAATACTAAAAATAATATATATTCATTTAATGTGTACGGATTTTGTAATTGGTATTGTTAGTGTGGATCGACAAATCCATAAAATATTTTCCCTATTATTGGGGTAGCAGTTGAGCAGCTGGCTACATTTTTTTTGACATATGACACCGTCCTTGCGAAGTGACATACACACACTACAATAATGAGTTGCCGCATAAACGGAGCTGTTATTTTTTGATAGCGCGGTATCTAGTGGAGTGAAGCGAGACCAATCATTTATCTATGATGTAACCATTCATCACATCACTGAATGAATTAAAACTGTTAACTTGTTAAATACAGAAAATGATTAAATTAAATGATGAAAATTTTATGTACAAATGACTACTTAATAAATGATTATAAAAGAAATGAGAACCATACCCTTCTAAATTTTGATTAGGTACCACACTAATTCAAATACAGAATCCGCCATTTTTCCAATTCAGAAGATGATTATGTACCCGTGTTATGTACCAATGACTACTTAAATGATTTTATAACAGAAATGAAAATAGGAATATATATGTAATCAATCGATTTGAATTTTTCATTTTACTAATTATTTCTCTAAGACAAAATAATAAAAGCAGCCGAATATGCCGAATACCGAATAGTAACGGAATATTCGTTGCAAGTCTAGTAAAAAGCAATAAAATACCATTATATTGCATTTGACATAGTCAGACATAATTAATAGTTCATTAATAAACAAGGAAAATTTAACAGCTGTCTATACCAGTAATTTTGATCCTGCTAAATCAGTGGTTCTCAAACTTTTTAAATGACGGAACCCTTTTGGGAAGCAAAATACTTGATGGAACCCTACAATAAAACAATTATTTTTATAAGTGTATTCTATATTAATCAGCATAATAAAAGTACAATGTATCCGTTACTAATTATTATTTACTTCACCACTTGGTAAGGACAATAATAGAAAACATTAAAAAAGAAAAAATCTAACTAGTGGGAGGTATGAAACTGTTTTTTATTTTTCATCAATTGCTTGATATCAGGTTTGATGGAAGAAAGTTGGAGTCTCATATCAGCTTCGGCGTCCAGTCTATTGCGATATTTTGTTTTCGTGGCTGCGTAGGTAGAGAATCCTGTTTCGCACAAATATGTAGTTGGGAACGGGAGAAGAATATCCAGAGCCATTTGGCCAAGCATTGCATATTCATCTTGGATTCTGCACCAAAAATCATTAAGAGGCGTCGTTTTGAACAATGACTCCATACTTGTGTCTGATGACATTTCTAAAAGAGATTCATATATCTCATTTGACATGTTTTCAGGCTTTTCCAAGTTGGGTAAAAAAGGATTATGAATCCAGGAGTTCACTTTAATTTTTGTATTGTGTTCTTCGGGAAAATACTTTTCAAAAGATGCGCGCATCGAACTGAGATATTGGACCAATTCTTCAAACACATTATCTTCAAACATTTCTGAGTCGTTTTCGCTAACAAACTCAGTGAGTAACGTAAAACTTTCTATTTCTTTCTTACCAATGCAAATGATCCAAAAATCTAATTTTCTTTTAAAAGTAGTTATTTTATTATAGGCCTGAAACACTGTTGTCTGTTTACCTTGCAATGATAAATTTAATTCGTTAAGTTTTTGAAAGATATCCGCCATAAAAGACAATCGGAACAACCAAGTTTTATCATACAAACGGTCCTTCAAATTAAAAGAAGTATCTGCTGAAAGAAACATTTGTAACTCGGCTCTAAGTTCAAATAGCCTTGTTAAAGTTTTTCCCCGAGACAGCCATCGCACTTCTGTATGGAGCAGCAGTGTTTTATGTTTGCTGCCATAATCTTCACACAATAATGAGAACAATCGGGATTGTAGTGGTCGTGATTTGATAAAATTAATTATTTTTACCGCTTCATCCATAACTAATTTTAGATTAGACGGCATTTGCTTCATCGCAAGTGCTTGTCTATGCAGAATACAATGACTGGAACTACAATTAGGCGCTTTATTTTTCATTCGTGACACTGCTCCTGCTGTTTTACCTGTCATCGCCTTGGCCCCATCTGTACAAATGTCAATGCAATTGTTCCAACTGAGATTATGTTCTTCAAAAAATATATTTATTTTATTAAAAATTTCTTCCCCGGTAGTGTTTGTAAGCAGCGATGAACACATAAGCATGTCTTCTTCAAAAGAACTTTTATATGGATATCTCACAATAACCAGCAGGATAGCCAAACCAGCGACATCAGTCGACTCGTCCATTTGCAAAGCGAATCGTGTATTTTGTAGACGTGTAACTAGTTCTTGTTTGACGTAGCTTGCCAGATCATGGATTCGTCGTGAAACAGTATCGTTTGATAGCGGAACAGTAGAAAGATGCTTTGCAGATTTTTCATCAAGCATACATTTTGTTATGTCTAATACACATGGTTTTATTAATTTCTCAGCGATAGTGTGCGCTTCACCTGCTTGTGCAATGCGATAGCTAACTAAGTATGATGCCTCCGTGGCCTTTTCGTTGGTAGTTTGTGTTACATGCATCATATTTTTTTGACTTTCTAATAACTGATCTTTTTTGCGAACAAAAAATTCTTTATTCTTGTCTTTAGTCTCGGGGTGTACGGTTTCTAAATGTCGACGCAATTTGGCAGGTGCCATGGAACTATTAGGAAGCAGTTTACTACAGAGCATGCAGAGAGGTGAGCCGTTGGAATCAACAAATCCGAAACTGATATAAGATTCATCATACTTCCTTTTTTTCGTCTTTGAAACCGTCGAGCTTGACGTCGTGGCACTCGTGGCATCATCTTCTGGATCGGTGATTGCTAAATTCTCCGCGCGCATTGCTTTTGAACATTCAGCGTCATTAGAAGATGTTGTTGGAACACGTTTAACACCTTTAAGCCAACGTTCCATTCTTCTTTATTTATAATGTTACAAGTCAGGATAGTGGGGTTTAAATAATGCACAATCGTTACTGCGTATAAGAGACTAAATTTAGAACCTACAGGGAAGAAATGTATAAAACTGAGACAACAGAATACAGCAGGCAGTAAAACAATGAACACCAGTTTCTCGCTAGCGAGCTTGTAAGTAGGTAGTAACTTATCGCTCCGAACGCTAATCATCAACTGACGACGCCAACGCGCGATCGCCGCTTTTATACTTAGTCCTAGACTCGATCTCAAATATTCTCGAAAATACTCGAGTCGGCACCTTTGATAAACAAAAAGCAAAAATAAAAACAGAAATTTAAAAATAGCGTTGTAAACAATATCGACTTTATCCTTTGAAGTTAGAGACGAAAGTCGCTAGTTGACAACTATAGCGTCTAATTCAGAGGCGGCTTTTATCAAAGAGACTGAGCGCTTACAAGTATACTACCCGCTCGTTTTAAGTTTGCCGCTGGCGATAGGTATGAGTGTATGACGTTCGAAATTTTTTATTTAATTGTAACAATAAAAATTGTGTACGTTAGATATTTGGGTAAAACTATGACACATTATAAGTTTTGTTGTCACGTGGGGGAGGGTACGCGCATTCCACAGACCGGCAAACTTAGAGCGAACGCGTTGTACAAGTATAAAATTGTTGAGACCAAACTTATGAGATATTGTACCAGCTAATGTAACACAAGCTTATACAAATACAAATAAATAAATAAATAACATTCATAGCGTTTTGTCTCCGCGCGGCCGCGGAGTCCGCACAGCCGCGGAGCGACCAGAGAGAGGTGTTTTGATTTTTTTATTTCTAAATTCTTGCGGAACCCCGACAGAGGTATCACGGAACCCTAGGGTTCCGCGGAACACACTTAGAGTATAGCTGTGCTAAATATTTTAAATCTTTAACAATTAGGATTTTTTCTATTTATTAAAAAAGATATACTTACCAGTAATAAATTGTATGCTATTATACAATATGAGAGAACAGCAAATCTATTTTGCTTATGTATATACAAACTATGGATACATTTTACTCAAGCTTTGAGAAACTTGATCTCTTACGTAACATACTACGTGTTTAGTTTAATACTGTATAAATATTTCAGCTAATAACAATGAAGGAAAATTACTTTGCATTAGCTTGAACTTTATTAATAGCTGTATATCTTAATTCATTAACATTTTAATATTGTCACCTGTAACTTCAATACTTGTCTACAGTGTCATATTGTATCTCATTTTATCTTTTAATTAGAAGGACAACCACGATTTAAGAATTTTCGCCTTCTTTTTAGTACACAGCTTATTATAAACAAATGCATTCTAATAAATTGTTTGACCATGGCTAATAATATTTTCTTATCATTACAGTTCAAATCAAGCCCATGTTTCTTTGAACTAGTAATAATCATCATCATCAGCCTATTAATGTCTCAAATGCTGAGGCACAGGCCTTCCCTATGGATGGAATAGGGAGTTTGGGCCATGACCCATGACAGCCGAACGCCGAACGCTAACCACTTGCGCGATCGAGCTAATAATAATAAAAAAGGTTAATTGGACATCATTACAATATTTTCGTGATAATTATACAGGTTGGGGTTAAAAAAAGATAAAATTATAATCTGACAATAAATTAAACGCTATTGTAAATATAATTACTAAATACATGAGCTACACCAAATGCTACTGCTAAAAATGTTATAAAAAAAATTGCACGAAAGTACCTGTAAACAAATTTAATTAAAATTATATACTTTGTTTGAAATTACTCTAGGTGACATAAATGTGTGTTTAATGGGTTACAATATTCATTGTTAAATTCAATGTGTAGAAGAGTCTATCTCATATAAATAATTCTTTTAACCCTCTCCGAATGCCCATAGCAGTAATTGTATAATCTAACTAGCTGACCCAGCGAACTTCGTATTGCCATAAAAATATGGGAGGTAGAGGGGTGAAAATTAAGGGTTGTTTGTGTTTTTAATATTACGATACATATTTAACGTAGTTTTTTTTTCTTCAGACGATTTAATAATTATTTTGAACACAAAATTGGTTATTGTGATTAAACTATGATAGCTAGATATATGTTCTTGCGGACTTTTTTGTAGGTCTTAATGGGATCTACAAACCCGTAGTACATCATTTTGTTCTATTGTCAATAGTTTTTGCAGCGCACGCAAAAATAGGTTTTCGATTACACCTTGTGTTACAAAATAGAAATTTTACTACGGATCCCTAATTTTGAAAAATAAATATAGCCTATAGCCTCCCTCGATAAATGGACTACCCAACACTGAAAGAATCATTCAAATCGGACCAGTAGTTCCAGAGATTAGCGCATTCAAACAAACAAACAAACTCTGCAGCTTTATAATATTAGTATAGATATCATTGAAAAAGGATCCTGATTAATAATCGGTATTATTTTGTACCACTCTTGCAGTATTTTAAATATTCAGTCACATCATTAACAACTAAAATAACCACTTTCAATTTAGGTAGAGAATCAGCTACTTCATAATCATTCAGGTCTGAGTCAGTTAAATCTCAATATTCAAAGCCTTTTTCCTCAGAAATTGAACTTGGGACCTATCAAGGGACTATTTCAGAATAGCATGGCAAACTCTCACTACTGAGATCAGAGTAAATTAGTTTAATGTAACTTTCAACTTACCATGTAAACTTAGATCTCCTTAATGTTCTTATTATACTTTCTGTCTGCTGTCTTGTTGCACTAAAGTCTCCAGAATTGTCTATCACAAAATGAGACTTAGCTACTTTATCTTCTAAAGGCATCTGGCAGTTTATTCTTTTCTTAGCAACAATTTCTGAGAAATCATTTCTTTTGCATAATCTTTCCAGCTGCTGATAATCTTCACTGAAACATAAATATGATTATCTATAAAATTTTGTACCAGTAAGTAGATAGTTAAGAAGTTATTATGGATGAATATTAACTTATGTACTCTAATAGGTATATGAAATTATAAATCTTCATAAAAAAAATTGTCTTAATAATTTAAATAGTTTTCAGTTATTCCAGTACTTCAAAACCCTTAAGGAATGATCATGGGTAATGTTTATAGCAGATTCTGAGATTAACCCTAAAACTTTTCTCAATTCAGTAGAAAACTATGTACTAATGTGGTGGGTATGTTAGCTTAATATTAATTAGCATTGTTTAACTTAGACAGGAATACTTACCATACCACTGTGATGATCTTATGCATAAAAGTTAACATTTTTCCTGTTTCAAATAATAGAGGCACTTCCATTACAATATACCTATGACCAGAAAAGAAATATGACACAGCCATTTTCATCATTGCACTTTGGATTCTCGGGTGTGTTATTGCATTGAGTTTTCTTCTCTTTTCTATATCATCAAACACTATTTCCCCTAATCGTAACCGGTTTACTTTACCATCAGAGCCCAAAACCTCATCTCCAAAGAAACTCCTCAACTCTTTCCAGGCTGTTGTTCCTGGCTCTAGAACTGTAAAACAAAATAATGTACTGTAAACATACAGGTATATTTCTGAAGGTACAACATAAAGTCACTTACAAGACAGATAGGCTTATCACAAACAAAGGCCTTTAAAGAATGTAACATTTAAGTATACATTCTTGTAATTTAATTCAAGATTTTAAAGATAGTGGTGTCGATTCTAGCATGATTCTCTAAACCTAAACTTAAATTTGACAACAGTATATCCTTGTCATTCTCTATACAGAATGAAAAGGAGAGACTGATGTTAAATTTAGTTTTAAGTTTAGAGAATCACACCAGAATCGACATCAATATAACTTTAATTTAGAGAATATCAAAAGAACACACACTGTAAAATCAGATTGATACATTAAAACAATTTGAACAACTTTAATCCAATGAATTGCCATATCCATAAATAATAAGTTTTATCAGACCATCAAATAGCAATATTTGCTTACCTTTCCGAGCTACTTCGTCAGCATCAATGACTGCAATACCATTTTCCCGAAATATCGCGAGCACTGTGCTTTTTCCAGTTGCTAGTCCTCCAGTAAGGCCAACAATAAACATTTCGTAATAATTGTTTGTGTGTATGTTACAACTAATATTCAGTAAAAAGAGCTGAGAAGTAGAATTAAAAAATAATTTTGAACTTCAGATTTGGATAAGTTTTTCACCGTTCACAAAACAAACCAACATTTTTTTAAAGTTCTCCCTTTTTAGGTAAGGCAAAGGGAACAATGCCCATACACCCTAGTCTTCAGTTTTCTTTGTTCTCTTTTTTTTACATTAGAATATAGGTGTTACGCATTCTAATGTTTCTTGGAGTGTTTGGCACGAAATATATATCGAGTCAGCTTTCTCGATCGATAAGCTTCTATGAGGAAGTCAACACTACAATAAAGTTCTCACGTCCACTTAACCGGAATAGCTTATATTTTAAAGATTCCACTAATTCTTCAGTTGTGCAGATGGTTGTAACACAAAATCTCACCAAATTTATTTCACAATATTCCTTAACTCTTAACCCTTTGCAGGAATGCGTTGTTAGAATAATTATTCCTGCAAAGGGTGCAAAACGTCATAAGTAAATAAAATCAGTGCATCTAACCCGTTGAAACTTGTTGTATTTAATGACTGATGTACGTGAAAGCCTGAGAAACCAATAAATTCTTTAATTAATTCGTAGAATAATTATTCTGACGACGCATTTCTGCAATGGATGCGAAACGTCATAAATAAATAAAATCAGTGCATCTAACCCGTTGAAACTATTTTATTTAATTAAAGAATAATTAAAATAATACGCCAACCACACTCGATGAAATCCCGCCAAATACCCAAAAAAACACCGAAATGTCACTTTCACAGGTGTCACTGGGTGTATTCCAAAATATAAACCAGTACGCTGACCAGTGCTAATGACGTCATGATTTCGACGCCATATTGCACTGGTGTAGTAGTAGTGTTGTCAATATGGCGTCGAAATTATGACGTCATTACCACTGGCCAGCGTACTGGTATTTGATTCGGAATACACCCACTGTCACTTGCTTGAATAGGTTTTTTGAGAAGGCCAAGAGTAGTAAGCCTATATAACTTTGAGTATCTTTTAAACGGGAGTAGCCCTAAGGCCATATACAGAAAGAAAGCCGAAAGCCGATCGGCGCCGATCGGCGCTTATCGGCGCCGATTCTTCCTACATAAAGGAAGCCGATTAAAGCAGATCAAGCAAAATGTCGGACTCATCGGACGATGATTTGGTTTTGTTAGGAAATGTTTATTTAAAAATGCGAAAAACAGGTATACATCCTATAAATAGAGAAAGGAAACGTTTCGGAGAATACCATCATTTATTTGTTAAAGAATTGAAATTTGATGATCAAAGATTTTATGCATATGCAAGAATGACTAAAAAAACATTTAATTACATTTTGGATTTAGTGGAAAACCGTTTGATGAAGAATTGGTGTAATTGGCATAAACAACCAATCCTTCCAGAAGAAAGACTTGTTGTCACCATTCGGTAAGTACGAAACAAATAATTTTAGCGCTTAGTTAATAAAAGATAAAGTTATTAGATTTATAAAAAGATTATAACTTAGATTGATTTAATCTAAGGATAATAATTCAAATACAAATTATTTATAATTCGACAATTAGGCGCCGATCAGTACGGCGCCAACGCCATTCGAGGTATCTATGATGACATTTTATGTCGCACGCGTCACAAATTCTTCGAGTGCATTTATCGTAAACCGGCTGGATATACTAAATAAATATTTCCAACACTCACACCAATTAGCCTAGCCCCAAAGTAAGCACTATCAGGCTTGTGTTACATCGATAAGTATATTTATATAGAAATAAATATTAAACATCCATGACTGGAGTACATATGCTCATATTCATTACATAAACATCTGTCCTCACCGGGATTCGAACCCGGGACCTCTCGAGTCGGCGACACCATGAAACACGGCGTTTAAACCCCGCGCGGACCGTTGGACAGTCGAGATTTCGCAGAGCTCCGTGAAAAAATGCGAAATAAATACTAAAGTGTCATTTTCTCGACAGGTATCTAATAAACGTTTGTTAATTTAACGCATTGGAAGCAAATTTTGTTCTAATACATACTATAAACTGATTTAATAGAAAATATTTGTGATATTGAAATGCATGGTCGGTAATATAGCTGTCTCTTTTCCTCACGGTCCGTATCTGTTACATTGCGAATAGCGCATTCAGAACTGCGCGTAAAATAAAATGAATAAGGTGTATATTCTTCCGCATATAGCAATAAATTCGTAAAATTCTACCTTGCTTGCATTTTGAACTGTCATAACTCTGACGCATACTTTTTAATTAAGACCTTAAAAGTATGCATTAAAGGTGACTTTCAATGATTAAATAATGCCTTATATTGTTTTTCACTACGCGATCAATTTACTCCGTGCTTAGTTCCGTGGATCGTCCAATGTACCTATTAGACAGGTTTCGGCCACGATTTTGTTCGTGAGGTTGTATCTAGGGTATTTAATATCGTTGAAGGGCTCTTAAGACATAGGTAATATTTAAATAAAGAAGTTGTAATACTTAACCGATTTAAATGTTCACTAACTTTATGTAAGTCGACAAACTAAAACAAAAACAATTAATACCTACTCACCGTCTTCATTCATGGCCTCGCTTATTTCTTTCCAACATTTGTCAACCACGTATCTATTACAGTGCCTTTTGTCGGTTTTGTCCCACAGAGGTTGTTTAGTGAATACTAAGGATATCAAAATGTCATTATCCATTTTTCTACTTAAAAAATAATTGCGTGTAGTAATTGACGTACCTGTTGTCGTTGTTTATTAATTTAAAATTGCAGCTGACCAGCGCGAGTCGGCGCCGATCGGCGCTTATCGACGCTTATCGGCGCCGATCGGCGCCGATCGGCGCTGGTCCATAGAAAAAGGATCAGCGCCGATCGGCGCCGATAAGCGCCGATAAGCGCCGATCGGCGCCGATCGGCGCCGACTCGCGCTGGTCAGCTGCAATTTTAAATTAATAAACAACGACAACAGGTACGTCAATTACTACACGCAATTATTTTTTAAGTAGAAAAATGGATAATGACATTTTGATATCGGCGCCGATCCTTTTTCTATGGACCAGCGCCGATCGGCGCCGATAAGCGCCGATCGGCGCCGACTCGCGCTGGTCAGCTGCAATTTTAAATTAATAAACAACGACAATAGGTACGTCAATTACTACACGCAATTATTTTTTAAGTAGAAAAATGGATAATGACATTTTGATATCCTTAGTATTCACTAAACAACCTCTGTGGGACAAAACCGACAAAAGGCACTGTAATAGATACGTGGTTGACAAATGTTGGAAAGAAATAAGCGAGGCCATGAATGAAGACGGTGAGTAGGTATTAATTGATTTTGTTTTAGTGTGTCGACTTACATAAAGTTAGTGAACATTTAAATCGGTTAAGTATTACAACTTCTTTATTTAAATATTACCTATGTCTTAAGAGCCCTTCAACGATATTAAATACCCTAGATACAACCTCACGAACAAAATCGTGGCCGAAACCTGTCTAATAGGTACATTGGACGATCCACGGAACTAAGCACGGAGTAAATTGATCGCGTAGTGAAAAACAATATAAGGCATTATTTAATCATTGAAAGTCACCTTTAATGCATACTTTTAAGGTCTTAATTAAAAAGTATGCGTCAGAGTTATGACAGTTCAAAATGCAAGCAAGGTAGAATTTTACGAATTTATTGCTATATGCGGAAGAATATACACCTTATTCATTTGATTTTACGCGCAGTTCTGAATGCGCTATTCGCAATGTAACAGATACGGACCGTGAGGAAAAGAGACAGCTATATTACCGACCATGCATTTCAATATCACAAATATTTTCTATTAAATCAGTTTATAGTAAGTATTAGAACAAAATTTGCTTCCAATGCGTTAAATTAACAAACGTTTATTAGATACCTGTCGAGAAAATGACACTTTAGTATTTATTTCGCATTTTTTCACGGAGCTCTGCGAAATCTCGACTGTCCAACGGTCCGCGCGGGGTTTAAACGCCGTGTTTCATGGTGTCGCCGACTCGAGAGGTCCCGGGTTCGAATCCCGGTGAGGACAGATGTTTGTGTAATGAATATGAGCATATGTACTCCAGTCATGGATGTTTAATATTTATTTCTATATAAATATACTTATCGATGTAACACAAGCCTGATAGTGCTTACTTTGGGGCTAGGCTAATTGGTGTGAGTGTTGGAAATATTTATTTAGTATATCCAGCCGGTTTACGATAAATGCACTCGAAGAATTTGTGACGCGTGCGACATAAAATGTCATCATAGATACCTCGAAGGGCGTTGGCGCCGTACTGATCGGCGCCTAATTGTCGAATTATAAATAATTTGTATTTGAATTATTATCCTTAGATTAAATCAATCTAAGTTATAATCTTTTTATAAATCTAATAATTTTATCTTTTATTAACTAAGCGCTAAAATTATTTGTTTCGTACTTACCGAATGGTGACAACAAGTCTTTCTTCTGGAAGGATTGGTTGTTTATGCCAATTACACCAATTCTTCATCAAACGGTTTTCCACTAAATCCAAAATGTAATTAAATGTTTTTTTAGTCATTCTTGCATATGCATAAAATCTTTGATCATCAAATTTCAATTCTTTAACAAATAAATGATGGTATTCTCCGAAACGTTTCCTTTCTCTATTTATAGGATGTATACCTGTTTTTCGCATTTTTAAATAAACATTTCCTAACAAAACCAAATCATCGTCCGATGAGTCCGACATTTTGCTTGATCTGCTTTAATCGGCTTCCTTTATGTAGGAAGAATCGGCGCCGATAAGCGCCGATCGGCTTTCGGCTTTCTTTCTGTATTCGGCCTAAGCACTTCATTCTAAGTTTCCGTCAATTCTGGCCGGGGACGAGTGTAATGTTGGTTGATTAAATAAAACACTAAGAAAGTCTAGCCCTCTGCGCCATCTTTATTTTATGAATCAATATCATACCTTAGTGATGTATTGGTAAAAGCGTTAGTGATGTAACTTATCTGACATCTCCCTTCTTATATTTACTTAACTTTTATTATTATTGTAAGTTTATAAATATTTCCTTAAACTTTAAGTTTA